AAAGTCTAGAAACAGATCATCTAAAACTTTGACACTGAGGGAACTTTTCATTTTCTTCAGTATTTCTTATGTTTCTGCAATAGACACATGTAACTGGTAGAAAAAATATTTTTGTTCTTTTCTTTTAGACATGCACTAAATACTCAGTATTTGTAATTCTTACTCTCCTTGTAGGGTTTATCGCCAATCTGCCTTATCCATCCTATCCCCACCCACTTGTCTATAAAACCTATGTAAATAGGTGGAGAGAACAAACACAGAGCAAGTCAATAAGGAAATGGAGGATTGAAACAACACTATGAACTAGCCAGATCTAACAGACGGGGAGAATTCTCCAGAATACAGCGTGTATCAGGCAAAAAAAAAAAATCAGGTTTCAATAACTTTAAAATCATATAAATGATTGATCTTTGTTCTTTATATAAATAAATGACCTTTGAAAAGCAAAAAAAAAAAAATCATATAAAGTATCTTCTCCAGCCACAATAGAATAAAACTAGGAATCAAAAACAAAGGAAAACTGGAAAAGTCAAAATATATGAAAATTCAACAACACAGTCTTAAACCACCAATGGTGAAGGAAGAAATCACAAAGGAAATGGGAAAATACTTTGAGACAAATGAAAACAAAAACACAACCTACTAAGGCTTATGGAACGAAGTGAAAGTTGCACTCCAAGGGAAATTTACAGCTATAAATGCCTACATTAAAAAAAAAAAAAAGCCTTTTGCATTTTGAGCCTTGCCTCTGCTCAGGGCCTGCTCCAAACTCTTTGGGGTGTACTTTCTTTTCTAATAATGGCCCTTGAGCCATTCTCTACTGCTCAGCCCGCTTCTGCTTCTTTGAAATGTCTTTTTACTTCTAATAAACTCCTTTTCTGCAACTTTAAAAAAAAAAAAAAAGAGGAAGCTCTCAAATCATTACATTTAAAAAAAATTTTTTGTTTTTTATTGGAGGCCAGATGGACTCATGTCTTGTTAGGGAGACCACTTCATAGTCGGTGTAGAGGCCTGACCACTGCACTGTATTTCTGAAGCTGATGTTGAATAATATTGTATGTCAAATCATTACATCTTAAGGAACTAGAAAGAAAAAAGCAAACTAAACCCAAAGCTAACATAATGAAGGGAATAATAAAGATTAGAGTGAAGATGAACAAAATAGAGAATAAAAACACAATGCAGAAAATCAACAAAACCAAAAACTTAAAAATATCAATAAAATTGACAAATCTTTATTTTAGCCAGACAGAAAAAATAAGAGAGAAGACGCAAGTAACTAAAACCAGAAATGAAAGTGGCACCTTCACAGAAATAAAAACAATTATAAGAGAATACTATGAACAATGGCATGCCAACAATCTAGATAACCTAGAAGAAATGGACAAATTCCTTAAAACATACAAATGATCAAAATGAACCCAAGAAGAAATAGAAAATCTGAACAGACCTACGATGTGTAAAGATTAAATCAGTAATCAAAAACCTCCCAAGAAGGAAAGCCCCAAGATCAGATGGCTTCATTGGTGAATTTTACCAAACATTTAAAGAAGAATTAACACCAATCTTTCTCTAACTCTTCCACAAAATAGAAGAGGATGAAACACTTCCTAATTCACACTAAAAGGCCATTATTACTCTGATTCAAAAATTAGACAAAGATATCACAAGAAAAGAAAACTGCAGGCCAATTTGTCTCATGAATATAGATGCAAAAATACTCAGTAAAACACTAGCAAACCATATCCAGCAGATTTTAAAGGGATTATACAGGCATACATTGGAGATATTGCTGGGTAAGTTCCAGCCCACCGCAATAAAGTGAGTATCACAATAAAGCAAGTCCCAATGTTTTTGCCAGTGGAGGGTCATGCCTTCAATTTGGAACAAAATCACTATATCTATGAAGTGTAATAAAGGAGTTCAATCAAATGAGGTGTGCCTGTATACCATGGCCAAGTGGGATTTATCCTAGAATGCAAAGATGATTCAACATATAAAAATCAATGTATTATACCGTGTTAATTGAACAAAGAGAAAAAAATACATGATAATTTTAATAGTTCAGAAAAGCATTTGACCAAATCCAACACTCTTTCATGATAAAAACACTGAACAAATTAGGAATAGAAGGAAACTTCTTCAATATAAATAAGTGCATTTATACAAAGCTGAAAGTTGACATCATACTCAATAGTGAAGGCTGAGAGTTTTCCCCCAAAGATTCAGAACAATCCAGGGATGCCCAGTTTCACCACTGCTATTCAACATCATAGTGGAGGTTTTAGCCAGAGCAATAGGCAAGGAAAATAAATAAAAGACAAATAAAATGAAAAAGAAGAATAAAATTACCTTTAATTGCAGACAACATGATTTTTTATAAAGAAAATTCTAAATAATCCACAATCTGTTTTAGAGCTAATAAATTCAGCAAAGCTACAGGATACATTAACATGCACAATGCAGCTGTAGTTCTATATAATGCCAATGAAAACTCTGAAAAGGATATTAAGAAAAGTCCATTTATAATCACATCAGAAAGAATAAAATACTTAGGATAAATGTAACTAAGCAGGTATAAGACTGGTAAATTAAAAACTCAAAACACTGCTAAAAGAAATTTAGAAAGACCTAAATAAATGGAAAGACATTCCATGTTCATGGATTGGAAGACTTAATATTGTTAAGACGGCAATACTCTCCCAATCAATCTACAGATCCAATGAAACCCCTATCAAACTCCCAGTGGCATATTTTTGTGTGTGGGTGTGGGTGGAAAAGACGACTCTTAAAATTCGTATGGAATTTCAGGGACCCTAAATAACAATTCTAAAAAATAAGGGAAAGGTGAAGAACTCATACTTTCTGATTTTAAAAACTTACTACGAAGCTATAGTAATTAAAACAGCATTAGTACTCTCAGAAGGACAGACGTATAGATGAAGGTAACAGAATCGAGGGTCCAGAAATAAACCCTTACATCTATGGTATATTGGTTTTTGACACGGATGCCAACAGCATTCATTAAGGACAGTCCAATAAATGGTACTAGGAAAACTAAATATTCACATGCAAAAGAATGAAGCTTGGACCCCGCCCCCCGCCACAAGCATACAAAAAATTAACTCAAAGTGGATGAGAGGCTTAAATATAAGAGCTAAAAGTCTTAGAAGAAAACACAGGGGTAAGTTTTCATGATCTGAGCTTTGGAAATGGGTTCTTAGACAAAAGCACAAGCAACCAAAGAATAAACAAATTGGTCTTCATCAAAAATGTAAAACTTGGGCCGGCCGAGTGGCGCGATGGTTAAAAACTCGCTTGGGATGCCAGAGGGCCCCGGTTCGGATCCCACATATGAGGGCCAGTGACACTGCCCTCTACAGCTAAGATGCTGAACAACAGCTCAACCTGGAGCTGGGCTGCTGTGAGTCACTGGCGACGGCATAGGCTGCAGTCCCTATGGCAGTGGGTTGCCATGGGCTACCGTATGTAGCCAGCAGCCAACGTGAGCGGCCAGCAGCCGCAGTGAGCAGCCGTCCAGAAGCCAGCGACTGATCTGCCTCGCCAGGGAAGAGCGCAATGATGGTGCCAACTTGGGCCAGTGAAACAGCGTCCTCCACAACTAGATTGAAGAACAAAACGACAGCAACTTGTCTGTTCCCCTTCCCCTAATTCCCCAGCACTGTTCCCATCCCCCCAATTACCCAATAAAAATCTTTAAAAAAAAAAAGTAAAACTTTTGTGTATTAAGATACAACAAGAAAGTGAAAAGGCAACGTATGAAATGGGAAAAAACATTTGCAAATCACATAACGAGCTCTTACATCTCAACAACAAAAAGACAGCAAGAACCCAATTAAAAAACAAAATTGGGCAAAGGATTTGAATCATTCTCCAAAGAAGGTACACAAATGGTTAATAAGCATATGAAAAGATGCTCAAAATCATTAGTCGTTAGGGAAATGCAAATCAATACCACAAGATATCACTTCACACTCACTAGGATAGTTATAATCAAAAAGACAGAAAACAACAAATGTTGGCAAGGGTGTACAGAAATTGCTGATGGGCATGTAAAGTGGGGGTGCCTGTGCAGAGAACAGTTTGGGGGCTTCCCCAGAAAGTTAATCATGGAAATACCATATGACACAGCAATTCCACTTCTAGGTATAGAGCCAAAGGATGAAAACAGGTACTGAAACAAGTACTTTTACAAAAGTCAAAAGGTGGGAACCACCCAGATGTCCGTCAATGGATGGATGACTCAACAAAATATGGCTGGTACATGCAATGGAATACTATTTAGCCATAAAAAGCAGTGGAGTACCGTACATGCTACAATGAGGATGAACCTCAAACACAAGATGCTCAGTGAAAGAAACCAGATACACAAGGTCACGTGTCATACAATTCCACTGATACGAAATATCCAGAATAGGAAAATCCATAGGGACCGAAAGCAGATCAGCTGTTGCCAGCTAGGAGGCTGGGGGAGGCCAGCTTAATGAACACGCGTCCCCTCTGGGGTGGCTGACAATGTTTTAGAACTAGATAGGGGTGGCTGTTGCACAGCATCATGAATGCGCTAAATGCCACTGAACTGTACACTTCAAAATGGTTAATTTTGAGAGAGAGAAATTGAGAGAGAGAGAGACAGAGAGAGAGAGACAGAGAGAGAAAGAGAGCAAAGGGGCCCATACCACAACACAGCCAAGGGTAGAACAGCTGAAAATCCAAGAGTGTTAGATCTAGGAAGGGCCCTAAGGAGACAGTCACTAGCCCCGCTCTCACCACGTCCCACTTCTCAGATCCACTTCACCCATATGGACCTTTATTCATGGAAAAACAAACCGATATCTCTCCTCTATCTCCTCGAGGACAAATAAACGCAGCTCACTTTCGTCCCCTTGGAACTGACTTTTTAAGACATTACCACACGCTTTAGCATGCAATATCTTTTAAGTACAAGACAGAAAGTTCCAGAAGGCACGCTCCTTTACCTTTGTGAGCTCTCTCCTTAGCTCTTCTTGCTCTTCCTCTGACAGGGTCTCTGTGGCACCGATCGTGGTGGCAACATCTTCTCCTGCCTCAGGCACTGGGTCAGCTCTCAGAAGACCTTGTTGGACATTTAAAAAAAAAATCGTCTATAAGATATGAACGCTCAGTTAAATTCTCCTTGAAGCCCCTCCACTGCCCAGGCCAGATGCAAGCCACTGAGAGTAGATCCATAAACCATCTTTCTGCACCTTCAAAGGACCTGGTTCCCCCCCAGAAAGAATCACAGGAGTCTGAGCCAACCATTAAAAACCACCAACTTTGGCTCTGCCAAAATCGGCATTTAGAAAATAGAGCATTCTCTCAGCTTCCGTTCAAGTCCTCAGTCACTGCAGAGCAGAGGGCTTACGAGGCCAAGAATGGGGTCTTGGCAAGGCTTTCAATGGGGAACTCGTCAACCAGCATGACGAGTAATTCTCTCTAACCAAAGGCGAGGGGCTGCCAGTATCTTTAGCTTCCTCTGCTTATGGAGCCCGACAATTAACCACCTCGGGAGGAAGAACACAGAGCAAACTCAATGCCTAAGGAAACGTTCCTCTATGTTGTTCCATTCATTACGAGATGCAGGAAACACCTTCTCGGAGCTTTTAAAATATATCATCCAGATATCTTTGTAAAAATCCCGAATGTGTATATTCAGAGAAATGGCCGACACCCACGGAGAGGCCTTCCACATGATGTAGGACCAAGCCCACCGCACCCATCCCGCTGAGACAGGACCAGGGTCTGCCCGTCCATCCGGGAGGCAGCTGGCTCTCAGCAGCTCTCCCCTCACTTCTGCCCACCCAACCATGCACAGGGCTAGGAGGCCAGTGGGGCCCCCACACCCTGGGTGCAAAATTTAAGGGGGCATCAAAAAATTCAATATGAATAACTTTACTATTTTAATGCAATAGTTTGTAAAAAAAAAAAATCAAAGCTAAATCAAAGAACCCCTGATGAACAAAATACCAAAATTTTAAATAGACAGGCTCACTGATGCTAATTTGTCCCTGTGTCATGGGCTCCACCGTGGCTTTGCACAGCGCTGTTCCTGACCTTGTCTTTAGTAAAAATTTTAGTATTTTGCTCATCATGGATTTCTTTACATTACTTTTAGTTTTTTAAAATACCGCATTAGGATATTTTTATCTGGATCACTGAGCTTCTGGGGGCCCCCTTAAATTGCACACCTGAGGCAAAGGCCTCTTACCTGGTCACAGTCCCACCCACCCATTCCCATGTCACGGGTTTGTGTTCTCACAGTCTCCTATGGTAACAGACTTTATGTAGGGGACCAGAAGAAGGTGTCCCCCTCTTCCTGCCAATGAGCGTTACAGCCACACAACAGTGGGGGGTTGTTCCCCACCCCATCCTAGCCCCACGTCCATTTCTGAGAAATGCTACTTCAGCCATAGCAGCTATGTAGCACCCACCCAAAGCCAGCGGCCGGGCAGCAGATGACGGACGTGATAACCGGCAGAGAGGAAGAAGGAAGACTAGCCACGCTGCCCAACAAGCAGCTGGCGCTGTGGCTCCCCTAAGAGGAGTAGACAAACCAATGACGGAACGAGTACGTACATCGTGTGAAAGGCACAGACAACTGCCCCCCAGTCTATTACCTGCACAGTGGTAGTTAATATTCATAGGAACAATAATCGCTGGCATCACAGAACCAAAACAGAGCCCGCCTGGAAGGTGTTTCCAGAATTGTTAAAGGCACCAAAGTGACACATGTAAAACCCTTTGAAACCACAGGCTGAGCGGCAAACAAAACAGGATTAAGTCCTCTGCTACAGAGACAACCCAATCAGGTAACACAACCACAGTCAGCTCAAGGAATCATTGCTTCTGTAGGTTCCCTCAGAAATCGCTGCAGCAATAGCCCGAGGAATGTTTCTATGACAGAAAGCTGATCATGTCACTCCCCGGCTTAAAGTCCTTTCGCGGTCCCCTGCTGCTTTCAGGACAAAATTCAACCCCATAGTTGAGTGCGCAGGCCTTACTGGGCCCATCGCCTGCTACCTGGCACTGGTACCTCGGACTCCAACTCCAGCCAGATCGAACGCGGTGCTGTACTGGGCACTGTTAGAAAGCCCCGCGGAAGGTCTGTGTGTGCTTGCCAATTCATCCCCGACACCACCTTCTGTGATGGAGTACAACGCTGAGGACGGAAGCTGAGCATATAGGCAACAACCATACGGGCAACATAGGAAGCACCGTCATGCCTTATAAACATTCTTTATTTTTATGTTTTGCTCAGACTTCTCAAGTTCTCCAACTAGAATAGGACACTCTCCCCCCACAAAAGGAAAAAAAAATGCAGGTGCTAATCCATGTCTTAAATAACAAAGACTCTTTCATCCTTTTTAATAAACATTATTTTGCAACTCTATTTAAGAAGAAAAATGCAATTTCTGATTACTAAGAGTACTCTATGCATAGCTGCCCAATTCCAAAAAGCATCTAAGGGGATTCTAATACTATTCAGGTATTTAGATACATTACCAGGAAAAATAAATGTCCCAGGACATGGGGAAAAGGGAATCAGGACCTCCAAGGTGACTTGGAGATATTCAGAATCTAAGAAAGTACATACATAACTACATGTTCTGCTTTTTTCCATATTAGCCTGCAGGTGGCAGCAAATTGTTGGCATTATAATTTAAATGTGAGGTTTGTTTTAGGGTAATCAACTGGGGGCGAAATGGAAAATAAAGGACATGAAGGAAAACAGAATGGGAGATACTGGAACCACCAGCAAAACAAGTCATGACGTAGGAATATTACTAAGAACCACAGCCATCTATTTATACTCATATCTGAGCTGAGTGGTCCATATATATTACATCATTCACATGCAACAGGTGTGTGAGGTGGGGATCACCACTACCATTTACAGGGGAGGAAATTGAAGCTTACAGAAGTTAAGCAACTTGCCCACAGTGACACACCTGAAAACATGATGGAGTTTGGTTTTGAACCTAGATGGTTTATTTGAAAGCATATGAGGTCGGACAATTAAGTTCATGAACTCATCCTAGAAAAAGTGCTACACACCTCATTGCTGATATCACTATGGTCACTTTTGAAGTACTCCCCTTGGGGAGCTATGCACCAATGCCAGCACCTAGGCCACCCTTCAAAGCAATTTTGGAACTCTTTTTCTGGAATGACCATCAGTGCTGCTGTCATATTACCCTAGATGTCCTGAATGTCTTCAAATGTCTTCCTTTCAATATTTCCTTTATCTTTGGGTAAAGAAAGAAGTCATTGGGGGCCAGATGAGGTGAGTAGGGAGGGTGTTCCAATACAGTTACTTGTTTACTGGTTAAAAACTCTCTCACAGACAGTGTCATGTGAGCTGGTGCATTGTTGTGATGCAAGAGCCATGAATCGTTGGCGAAAAGTTCAGGTCGTCTAACTTTTTTATGCAGCCTTTTTGGCACTTTCAAATAGTAAACTTGGTTAATTGTTTGTCCAGTTGGTACAAATTCATAATGAATAACCCCTCTGATATCAAAAAAGGTTAGCAACATCGTTGCAACAAGTTCGCGAACTCAATTGTCAGACCTGAATAAATCTAAAAGAATGTTAATGGGCATAAAATTAAAATTCTAAGTGAAAATAAAGCATTTTCTTTTAGTGTAACTTGAAGCCATTTTTCCCCCTTAATAATAAAACATAAAATAATGGTACATCTTAAAATCTGTGACATCTTAGATGTGATGAGATACGATACTTCAGACTCCAGGGAACCTGTCAGTAAATTTTAGGAAAATGAAGTTCTCAGGTTTCTGGCTTCGGTGGAAATGTGTGTGATGAGCCAGTCATGTGGGGAACAACGAGGAAGAAGGGGGGAAAGAGTTCAGTCTTGACCGTGTCTCTATGGCCGCCCCATGAAGTCCCGATGTCATACGCTTATCTTTTCATCTCAGTACTCAAGGTCCTTGGAACAGAACAAATTTTAACAAATGTTTTATTTGAACTGATTTATTGGATTTATTGAAACGAAATAAATTTACGTTCCCATGCATAGCCACCTGCTTGCCACATACTCCCAAAAATGTCAAGCAGGGAAAACATGCAAAGCCCTGAGTTCCAATTCTGCATCTTTCACCCAGTACAGTTCCTGGCGCACAGGCTCTCAGTGACACTCTCTGAATAAATGAATTCCATGAAGGTACACAGTTGAGGTAGAGGAAAGAAAAGAACAGTCTCCCTTCATTATCTCCCTTATAGCTTGAGCTTTTTATTTTATATGCTTCATTCTCACTTCACTGCTTTCACCTATGAAGGTTTTTCTTAAAATACATAAAATGTCACTTTTCTAAAGAAATACAACTTCTGTCTCACAATCCATCCAAAGATGATTGCATTTGGCAGCCACCTACTTCACATTACAGAGAAAGCGTGTATACCATGGTGGCACAGGTAGGGCACAAATGATATTACAGAAGGAAGAATATAATGTCAGCTGCCCCCAAGAAAATTCAGTTAGAAGGGAAGACTCCATAATTTGTTAGAGTTATAATCAAGCCCGAGAAGCTTCTCTGGAAAATAAAACTGCATCCACTTCTCTGACAGTCTTTAAAGAGGCAACAGTGGTTTTAAGACCAGAGTGGGAATAAAAAACTTCAGTCTCAAAGGCTTGTTTTATTTAAATACCAACAAGTGGAAATAGGCACCTCACTTTTTAAACCTAGAGACACACACACAAAAAGATACAACATACAGTTCAAAATACCTTTAGTGGTAGTATCTAAAAAGATCACAGGATAAAGATATTTTCCCCTTTATAAGTCTGTGTTCAGGGTTCCCCCTCTCCAGGCCTGTGCTTTGGTTCCACATGTAACTAAATCCCAGGAGAGGCAGGAGTGATATATGGAGGTCCCCACACCAATGTGGTTCCCCTTAAGAGATCCTAAAAACTAAGGACCCACTTAAGACAGGGCTTCTCAACCACAGCATGATGGACATTTTAAGCCAGGTAATTCCTTGTGCTGGGGTTTTCCCATGCCATGTGGCATCTACCCACTCATGCCAGTAGCAGTCCCTCCCCACATCCAGTGTGACAACCGAACACATCTCCACATCAGCTCCTGAAATGGCCAAATGCCCAAAGCGGGGCCAAACTGCCCAGGTTGAAAACATAAACCTAAGGCAAAGGGGCATCAAATACCTCCTGTTCCACACTGATTATCTCCAGAAGGAAAGACATTCAGTAACGCAGAAGCCATGAACACTTTCTCGTGTTTGAGGCTGTCCTTTCCCATATTTGCCTACGGTGAGAACAATAAACCTCTAGGAGAGGAAAAAAACGAGTCAAGTAATTGTAGTCGAGGCAGCAAGGAACAAGAAAGCTGAGGAAACTCGACCCACTCCATTTGGGGGAGACCCAGGAACCCAGGAGATTAACTGGGCAGTGTCAGGGGTGGGGGTAGGGAGTGTGGGGGTGTGGGAAGGGAACGGGCAGCACCGAGGCATAAAGAAAAAGAGCTTGTGACCCAGATCGCCCGCCAGGAATGCCAGAGGCCCAACACTGAAAGCTGGGCCCCGAATAGCGGTCAACTTCCTATCCAAGAAAAAGGGCCACCCTCCCAAAGCTTCACCTCCCACAAAGTGTGCAGGAGGAAAACAAGATGGCAAAGGTAGAACGCATTCGTCATTTCAAATGCTTGACTTGTCTCTTCCAGATATACCTAAATGGACCCTTCAATCTTTTTCATCTTAAAAAAAAAAAAAAAAAAACAAGAGGGAAAATCTTTCATCAATTACCTCAGAGCCATCAGTCCCCACAACTCCAATCAAGTGTAAAACTAGTAACTGGGGCACCCCACAAAAGAGAAACAAAAGATCAGTCATGGAGCGATTGGGGGTTCCCAAAAAAGGAAGTCACTTCCATCCTTAAATTTCCTCTCTAGGAATAAGAAGAATCTGCATTTCTTTAATTCTGCCCTGATTTTTATTTAGTCAGCCATAGATATGCTTGCTACTTAAGACCTTTACAATCATGAAAAACTTTCAAGAAGTGATTACCACTTCCCTAAAAAAAGTGAGAATGACAGAGAGTAGAAATCAAAAAAGGTACTAAACAGAATGAGAAGAAGGGCTCAGCTAAGGAATGTCAGTTTCTTTTCTTCCCCCCAGTGGTTTTAGAGTTTCAATATGACAGCATAAAACTAAAATGTCAGATTTTTAAATGGCTCCTCTATCCTGACATCATTAGAAATAACCCAAGGGTTTTTATAAACCAGGGCTGCATCCTTCTATGCACCAGAAAATGCTTAAAGAGGAGGAGTGATTCTACATAAATAGCATTTGGAAAAATATCCTTGCAGGTGGTCACAGAACAGAAGAGAAGACGCCACAAAGGACCCCAGGTACCATCCTTTTAAACACCTGGGCTGACCGGCAGCTGCAGACATGGAATGGCAAGTTCAGGTCCACGCAGGACAGAGTCAACAAACTACCTCTGCAGTAAAACCCTTGACGAAAGGATAGGTTATGCCTTGAATGACTAAGCTGGTCTATACTATCCATTACCAGCAAGGCTGAAATAGTGGGATGCAAAAACAAAACAAAACAAACAAAAAACCAACCACAGGCTTGAGAACTGAGAGGTGAGCACAAGTCCTGACTTAGGCTGCCTGAGCTTTGTGATGTGGGGTCTGCACAGCATGTGTCTTGCCTCAGCGTTCACATCTGTAAAATGGACTGGAGTGTGAACTAGTTAGTCCTTGTCTGCTTCATTCCATCCATCCATCCATCCATCCATCCATCCATCCATCCATCCATCCAACAAAGCCACAGATGTCAAGCACGGTTCCAGGTACCGGGGAAAAGCAGTGAATGAAAAGGGAGACATCCCTAACGGAGCTTATATTCCAGGCTCTGAAACTTCCTAGAAATCGGTGTTTTCCAGACTGTGGGCTGTGAAACCTGTTTAGCAGTACCAAATGAGCCTTTTAGAGAGAGCAAATGGAACAGTGTGCCATGTCAGACAGAGTACCTCGCACACCGGAAGGATCAATTCTGCTCCAGTGGTTGATATTTGTATTGATGAGGGCTGTGGGCCCAGAAGTCTAAGGCATTTCGGAAGGTGGGCTGGTTCCACCGAAAGAGTTGAAGAGCCCCCGACAAAGACCTCTTTCTTTCTGTTTCGGCCACTGGCCCTCATCCTAGATCCTTCACTCAGATAGCTTCTTAGGGGCATTCTGCCCATAGATTAAACATTATTTTCTCATTGGCACCATGATGGCATTTTGGATAAATATCGAAGAATACGTGCTTGGGATCCGTGTTCCCAACCTTTCTGAGTAGGATTCCTTTTACCTTCCTTCCTTCTCTTTTGCACGCTGCTTGTCAGCTGATGAAGAAAAGGCGCAGCGGCCGAAAGCTACAGGAGCTTTGAAATTGGTGAATAGCGTCATCGGTCCTGAGAACTCCAACAGCAGAAACACAGACAGAAAAACACAAGGAAGACATCGTATTCCTTCCATCTCGGCCCCGCATTTGATGTTCCAATAGGCTGGCAGGCTTGTTGTGCCCTGAGGGGACCTGGACCTGAGACTGGGGGTTACTGTTCTAGGTGCCCCACTTTCATGAGACTCACCATGTTCTTACTAGATGACTGGCTATGGTGGTTTCTGTTTGCTTGACTGGTTATGGTGGTTTCTGTTTGTTCCCCCGCCTTTTTTTTTTTTTTCAATTAAATCAAACTAGTAGTTTGGTTTTTGTTATTCACTTGCTTTTTGATAATTCTGTTTTTAATCCCATGCGCCCAGACTCCTACGGACTGCCATTAGGAATTGGGAAGGTAATGTCTGGAAATCTGCCTACAGACACACCCGACTGCTTTTGTTTTATCAGAAAGCAACCAAAGGCGGCAATTATTGTAACTGCAAATGCAGAAGGGAGTGAGACAGAGATACAAGGAGAGGGCGATAGCTAAAACAAGCCGTGTCAATCCTCCTGAAATTAACCCTTGCATGCCGATCGCCAAGCTCTACCTGAATTCAGGTAACTGTGTGCCCGGCCTCCACGGCCCCTTGTCACTTGGGCTTCACTCTGTCATGGAACTCTAACTTCCCTACTGTGTGCGCTGCTCTTAAAGCATTTCCTACACACAGGGTTTAGAAGTCAGGACAGATGCCACCATCCTCTTAGGGCCCAGGTAGAGGGCAGGATCCACTTTGGGACAGAGGTCCGAGGGGGCCGGAGGGGGTAAAGGAGAGGGCTTCCTGGCACGCTGACTCCCCCAGCAGACACCCAGCAGCTGCCTACCAGCCCCCAACTTCTAGAGACCAGCTCTGGCCTGCTATTTTCAATGCTCTCCCTTCCTGGAAATTCAAACTGCACCCCAAAGGTGACTCCGATGGCCACCAACCACCAGAGGACTTGTTTGTAGCATACACCTAGGTTTCATGCTGTATCCTTCACCATTTTTTTTTCTAACTTATCCACTTTTTAAGCTTACAAAGAGCAAAATGTGACCTCGTCTTCATTGATAAGGAAAAAATTAACTTCCAGGGAAATCTGCTTAATTCTCTGGCAAATCAGAGGTCATTTAACCATCTCTGAGCGTTCGCTGTGAAATGAGGGAACTGGCCTGGGTGATGGCTGACAGCTCTGTGCTGTCTCATGCTCCCATCGCAGACCTTCCCGAAGGGAACGCCTGACCTTAAAACACTCTCGGACCAGCACGGATGAAGGAATGACCAAAGGTACCGCCACTTGGAGTTTCTCCACTTAAACAAAAATCTCTTGCCTGGGTATTTCCGTATATTGCAAAATCCAAGACAACCTCCACAAAGACAACCTTGAATGTCACCACTGGTACAGATGCTTAAGCCTCATCTTCACAAAGACAAAATCGGGGTGGGGGGGGTCTTCATAAATTACACAGGTGACTGAAAAACAAGAGCCTTAAGATGCCCCCTTTCTTTGTTATTTATCAGCTCAATGAATTCAAAGTGATCAGAACTCGAATGCTCATATAAATACAACTGCCTTTAAAATCTAAAATCCAATTACACATGCATACATACATTATGTGTATACACACACACACTAAATATTTAACGAGCCATCTCTCTCTCTCTCTCTGCTTGAAACCTGTCACAGCGTCATTAACCAGTTTCCACACAGCAACAGTCTGGTCCGTCTTTACACAAATAATTTCAAAGCCAGGCAAACCCCAAGGGATGCCCAGGTTTCATCACAGCAAACTCGGCTTCAGAAAGTGCATAGTTACCAAATTTCTGAAGAGTGGGGGATCCGGGTGGGGATGAATTTCCACTGGGGGACAAGTAGAGGTAGTTTTTGTTCACGCCCTCATCAAAGTCAAACGGGGACTGGTAGTCCTCATAGAGTTCCATCTCTCTGGAGTCCATTCCAGAGGGACGCAGGGTGCATGGTGTGGCAGTCACGTGGCGCTCTTCAGCTGAGGGCCCCTCAGGCCACGGTGCCCTCCATCCCTGCCCCGTGCACCCTCGCTGAAAGAATCCACCTGGGGTGGTGAGACCCGGCCTCCCGGTGCTGCCTTCTCGGGGCCTTCACACCCTCAGGACAGCAGCTGGTTTCATAAGTGACTTCTCCTGAGGACCCAGGAAGGCTCTGCTCGCCACCTGCTCCTTCGTTTCGGTCAACAAGGAAGAACCTGGCTGGGAGTGGCGCTTTCCTGGGTCAACAAAGGAGGGCCGGGGCCTGCGAGGCCGCCCAGAGGTACAACCCGTGCAAACACACGCCAGGCGCTGGCAGAATGACAGGAAACGACCATCTATTTTTTTTTTTAAACCAGTCAGCTGACCAAAATTACACTAGGGTGGACCTAATCCTCTAGGGCAAGGAAGGATTAGCGGTCAGTAATCTCCCGCCAATGCCATCTGGGTGCTACGTTTTTTTTCACCTGGATTACAACAGGGTTCTGAAAGCCAAGCTGCCTGGGTTTGCCATCAGCTTTCTAAGTATCAGTTGGTATAGAATGAAGGCTCTATTTCCACTGTTACTCTATCTAAAGTAATGTCTGACTTAGTGTAGCAAAAATTCCGTCTGACCTTCCTCCTTCCCTCCGTCCCTCCCCTTCCCTTTCATCCCCTCCCCTCCACTCCCTCCCGCTTGACGGGCAAAGTCTGTCACTGCAGGACAATAAGAAAAAATAAGCCGTTCCACCTTTTCAGCTCTAGCTGATAAAAAGGGAACGCGATATACTCTCCCTGGATTGGAAGCAAAAAGAAAGCCTGAAATATTTTAAGCGTTAAAACAAATCTGCATGTCTAGTGTATAAAATATAAGTGTACCGAGACAGCTTACAGTCATCTCAACTTATGATGCATTTTTCTATTTTTTTCTGTTAGTCTCATGTTGCATTCTATTTTTGGCAAGTCTTTATCTTAAGGGTTTACAAAGTTTATTTTTAACAACAACAAAAAAAATCAATCTGTATTTTTCTCCTAAAAGATGCCAAAATTTGGGCAACTCTAAATGCTGTTCACTCTCTATTTAGAAACAGAATAAATGGTTTCCTTTCTATTATTATTCAAAAGAATGAATTGTCTGGTTTCTGGACACCCATGGGATCTCTTCCTGAGGTGGGACAGGCACCATAGTCGCATCCTTGGGGCAGAGTGTGGTTGGTGGGGTCTCTGTATGCTCAGTACTCTCTGCGTCCATCGGTCACTAACTCACTGGTGGTAAAAGCATTTCTCCACACCCAGTCTTCCTCCTGGGGCCACAAGCGTTAGAAGGTGTCATGAATTGAATGTTTGTGTCCCTCAAAATATATGTTATCCATACCCCTCAATGTGATGGTATTTGGAGGTGGGGCCTCTGGGAGGTGATGCGCTTCAGAGGAGGCCAGGAAGGTGGGGCTCCCCTGAGGTCCTTATAAAAAGAGGAAGTGAGGCAGCTGAAGCTTTCTCTCCACCATGGGAAGACACAGCAAGATGACAGCCATCTGCCAGCCAGGAAAAGGGTTCTCACCAGGAACCAAATCAACGAGCACCCTGATCTTGAAATGCCCATCCCCCAGAACTGCGAGAAATAAATGCCTGCTGTTAGAAGCCACCTGGTGCATGGTGACTTATTACAGCAGCCGGAACTAAGACAGAAGACATCAGTACTAACACGCATTCAATGCCAAGTCTTTTCCTGCCTGAAACGCAGCCCTTTTTTCTGCTTGCTAAAGTCATTCATCTTCCCAGACTCAGGCAGAAATGCCACCTCCTCTGAAACCCTCTCTCCTCCCAGCGCTGGCTTCCAGCAGCAGCACATAGAATGTGACGTGGGCGCTACGTCCTCCCCCGCAAGTAGACACCAGTTCTCCAAGTTTTGGCTTTGATCAGTGTAGAAAGAAGAAAGCAAACAATAGCTCAGCTATGACATGCCTTATATATAAATACGAGGGTTTAGAATTCAAAGTGATGCTGGAGTTTTTATTCTACCTGCTTAGGTACACTCTTAGGACTGTGCTACAGCACCCTGCCTCTCTGAACCAGCTGTAGTTCTGCATTCAGACCCTCGTCAAGAATTCAGAAATGCAAGGAAAGTGAGAATGGAAGACCTGAGGTGGGCACGGAATGGGATATGTTAATGGGATGGCAAAAATTCAGTTGACTTAAGAGTCAGGTGCCAAAGAAAAAACAGCTGTAAGATATAAAAAGTGGAAATGCAGCTTGGGGACAGACCATTAAAGACCTTAAGTGATAAACTTTTACACTTAATACATAATGTGCCCAAAAGCCTCAGAAGGTGTTTGAGCCAGGGAGAGACAGGATAAGAAGTTTTATAACGATGACTCTGGAAACGGTGTCCAGGATGCACTGTAGGTAGAAAGGGGACTCAGAGAGAGTCTACTGCTACTGTCCAGGCAAGAGGGAGAGAGGCCTCTATGTCTGAGCCAGCTCTTTCTATTTATTGCAGTAGGCTACGGGCCCCAAGGAGGACAAACCAGGTAAGATTTGGTCCTGCTCTGCTGGACATTGCCACACGGGTCTTCCAAAAGGACTTCAAAATCGACATGCACAAGGCTGAATTGGCCAGTTTTGTTCATGATGCTCCTATGTCCAAGTTCGCCATCCTGAGTCACCTCGGCCTGACCTCAGGCGAATGGTTTCCAAGTATCCCTGCTCTGTAAGGAGGCGCCACCAACAGTTGCTCATCCACCTTGCATGGCATGCCTTATCGTCCTTCCTTCTTTCTGTTTGTCAAGGTCCACACCCTCGTTCAGACCCACCTGGAGTGTTCTGGTGGAGACCTGCCCAGCGACAGGGTGGCAGACGCCTGCTGTTTGTCTACCCAGCACCCTCTTTTCCTTGACAAACCCCCCTTCACCTGCCCCACGGGTGAGAGTCGACCACAGTTTCCACCAAGCCTGGCTCCAGGCGCGGGTTTGTTCTTCACATCCAGTCCATGCAGACACCCCATTCCCCTGTTCACAGGGACTGGCCTACGAGTAGACATCTGATGCAAACAGCGCCACAAACAGGCCGTCCCTGATGTTCACTCGGTGAGTCAGAAGAGAAAATGACTTTCCCTGTAATCTGAGCTGAGTTGGAGGGTCCAGGGGGCTCTTTCTCTCCCCAGGCCAACAGGCAAGAGAACCAGTGCTGACACGGGGAAGGCATGAAATGGAGACAAGTAACAGATGGAGGGCCCATGCCTGAGCCCCTCCATCCAGCTACCCTGGGCTTCCCAGTTATTAAACAACTTTCCATTCTGCTTCACTTACGGTTGGTGTTGCATTCTATCATTTCAGTGGGAAAAGTCCTATAATACCTACTTTCCAATCATTTCCCATTATTAACCCACCCCCGTATTTCAGCCATACTTGATTTTCCTGTCTCTCCGAACACATCCTAAACTTGGCCTAGACAATTTTATCAAACTAGAGTTTCTTTTCCCTATATTTTTACCCGTCAAATTCCTACCCACTCATCAAGCTTAACTTAATAAGTCACATATGAATGGTATACATACAAGGGATGTTCATTTTAGTGCTATCTAAAATGGAAAAAACAACAGCACAAATGCCTCCTAAAAAGTGGATTATTTAAATGCCACATAGAACATCCATACAATAGAAAATTGGGCCAACATTGGGCCGGCCAAGTGGCACGTTGGTTAAGAGTTGGCTTGGGATGCCAGCTCTGAGCAGCAGAGCCCCGGTTCGGATCCTACATGAGGGCCAGTGACGCTGTGCCCGCTGCAGCTAAGATGGTGAACAACAGCTCGACCTGGAGCTGGGCTGCCGTGAGTCGCTGGCAATGGCATAGGCTGCAGCCCCTGCTGCAATGGGCTGCCATGAGCTACCGTGAGTGGCTGGCAGCCAGAATAAGCTGCTGTGAGCCGCCGCGAGTGGCCGTCCGCAACGATAATACCAACAAGGACCAGTGAAGCGACGTCCTCCACAACTAGACTGAAGAACAAAAGGACAGCAACTTGTCTGTTCCCCTTCCCCCAATTCCCTAACGCTGTTCCCCTTCCTCGATTACCCAATAAAATCTTAAAAAAAAAAGAAAGAAAGAAAATTAGGCCAACATTAACATAATGAACACATGTATATATTTTAAAAGAAAAGATATTCTTGAGTCAGTAAAAAAAAAGCAGGTTCCAAAACTGTTTGCATTGTATGATCCATAAATGTGTAATAATTGGAGAGAGAGAGAGAGAGAGAGAGAGGCCAACCAGGCAAAATTTTTTAAAAATGGTCAGGAGAAATCGGTCATACAACCCCAGGAAAGTGCTATGCACGGCAGTGCCAGCAGAGGGAGCCCACGGGCAGCTCAGCCATTAACAGTCCAGCCAGCTAAGTGCATGCTACAGAGCAAATAACCCATTAGATGACTCATGCTATTGCAAATGGAAGTGGAGGAAGTGCAAACGACTCTAAAAAAATATTAAGTTTCTACCTGCCTATTAATACATCACTCAAATAGGTCTGGGAAGGCGCTCCCTAGTTTCGAAAGATACTTAGGGGATAGTCTGATGTAAAAGCTATACCACACATACAAAACTGCACTTGGAGGGCCTCAAAGGGCACAAAGACAGACGGTGCGGTTACCCAATAGGAGAGGCAGGCCACTGAGAGGCCAGGGGGATGTTTGGGGTGTTCAGGACAGAGGCTGGGGGTTCATGAGCACCGCCTCCAACCCCCATCCTCCCACCCCATGCCACAACAGCAAACCTTGACTCAAAAGCACACAGAAAAGTGCTTCGTTTTAAATATGGAATTTCATTTTAAAAATAAGCCTCAAAAGCACTGTGAGGTAAGCCCTGTGACTGTCCATTTTTCAGATGGGAAACAAAGCAAAGATAGTTCCCATAAACACCCAGTCCTCCCCTAAAGCTAGCAGTGAAGGCACTGGAATCGGAAACCAGGTGGTCTGCTTCCAAGGCGTGTGTCCTTTCTAGAAGAGGAGAAAGTGGACTGTAGTTAACCAGGCCAGGAGCCAGGACATCACATGCAAATCACCTGAGGATCTTATTACAATGCAGTGGGCATCGCTGACAAGCTCCAGGTGACAACAGGGTGCTGGTGGGGACCACACTCGAGCAACCAGGTGATGGAGGCCCTGGACTGGCAGGCCAGGGAGTGCAAATGTGATTTTTACAACAATAAAACAACAATACTTGTTAGCATTTATTTCATCCTCACAGTAGCATGTGGGTAGTGATGTGATCTCCAATTTCCAGATGAATAAACGTAAGACACTGAGCAATGAAGGCCAGAGCCCTAAAGTCTCATAGCAGTCATCATCCTT